TAAATGTGTCTCCCTGTAAAGGGAAGATGGGCAGCAAGATGAGTACGGGTGAGTTTGAGACGATGAAGATGGAAATGCCAGTGCTGGTCTTTAGTTTATGTAGGCATGTACATTCAGAAGCATAATAGCATTTTTATTGCTGTGTGCTGCACTGGCCTGGGGCAAGGATCAGTGGTTTTAGCTCAGAGCAAATGTTTGGGAAGAACATTCAGGTTAACTCCTTCAGCTGTGTAGTGAGGAAGGACAAGAAGAAGAGCAAATCCTTAGAAAGAAAGGCAGGTCTGTGGCTGCACCACCTTAATGCATTCCACAATGCAGCTGCTTTGTCATGGCCAGAGTTTTGAACTCAAGCTAACCTCTAAATCCAAGTCTAGACATGGCTGTCAATTCATCCACCTTACTGCTTAATGACTTCCTCTGTTGCTATGTTTAGAGGTCAGGGACCAAATTGCTGCCCTGCTGGCCTCAGAAGCGTGCTGTGTTGATGCCTTTGGATGTTGCCCTTCTCTTTGAGCAAGGTTCACCGGTAACTGAAGGGTCCTTAGGATTGCTTTGACTGAACAGTACTGAGTAGGAAATGCTTGCTTTTTCCCCTTCTCTTTTGAAGTTCATATTGGATATCACAGCATAAAATGTTTTGGTAAATGGTTTGTGACTGTAACTGCCAGAGTGGTATTAAGCAACAGTGAAGTGTTTAATCAGCCTGGGTTTCCCTAATGCTCAGGTGACCGTCGGCAAGATGACAGCAAAACAAATGCACTGGAAAATAAATCCCCCTTTGCTGTATAATGTATTTTTCCAGGTCTTCATATTTGACAGTCTGCTTCCTTGTTTTCTTTTTTGAATTTCTTACCCATCTTGTGCTGCTTTTACATAGCATATGCACTGAGAATTCCTCCATCAGAAGGTCATAGTGCTTCTTCCAGTTGTGGTCTTCTTTGCAACAGTTGAGACACTGGGCTCTGCTTGGTTCCTTGGTCTGCATCTGAGTGTGAGCAGTTCTTAAAAGCCAGGCAGAAACAGCTGCTCCACCCATAGAGACTAGTTTCATGTTCCAGTTTGTCGTCAGATGATATCATCAGGAAATATTTCAGGTCATTGCAAAAGTAGAATTCTAGGGTTGCACTCAGATCCTGTTTTTATTGTATATATTTATATGTATATGTATATATTTATATTGTTTTTATTTCAGTGCTGTTATTGGGAACCTTTGAAGCAAAACAGTGCTGTCATTCTGAGGGAAGTCATTCTCTTTGCTGCCTATTCCAGAAGCACAAATTCTACTTTTATTTAACCAGAGTGTGAAGGCTGAATAAGAAATTCCTAGGTTTATTTTCTTGTTCTGTAGTAAGAGAAGTAATTTGAGGAGGAAGTTAATGGGCCATGTAGTTTCAGATGGAGACTTTTCAGAACAGGATTTCCTCAGTCTGGACTCAGTGGGGACTGGGTTTGGAGCAGCTGCCTCTGCAGAATCACAGCATGCCTGGCCAGGCTCCCAGTTCAGGAAGTGGCAGCCTCTCTCAGAGGTTAGGCAGACACTTGGTGCTACCTGCTGCCTTAATTCTTTGTCCACGTTGCAATGATTGAGCTTGGTGGTGGTAGGACAAACTTACTGAACACAAATTTTTATAAGACACATTACAGGCAAAAACAGGAAAACACACAGTGCTGCTGCTCAGGCATTTATGTGAAAATGCTTTTCTCTGTCTCTCAACGTCCTAGGGAAAAATTTGTTGAAGCCTATGTAAATTACATCTTCAACTGCTCCATCCACGAGTGGTACACAGCTTTCTCCACTGGCTTCCTGAAAGTGTGTGGTGGGAAAGTCCTGGAGCTCTTCCAGCCCACAGAGCTCAGGGCCATGATAGTTGGAAACAGCAACTACAACTGGGAGGAACTGGAAGAGGTAAAGCTTCCCTTCTCATTGCTTTTGTATTTTTAACAAGCACCAGGAAGGTGAGGACAGTGGGACATGAGGTGTGGTGAGCCACAGTGTCCTTTTCTGTGTGCCTTGTTCGTCTTGCCGTCATTCACATGAGATGTCTTACTGTCCTGTTACTAAATACAGCTCAGAGAGGAAATTAGGGACGAGAAAGAAAAGAGGAGAAGGACTTCAGTCTGGTTTTTATCAGTGTGACGGCTAAGACTGTAGGAAAGAGACAAAACTTAGAGTAAAACTCGCTCCAGTACACAAGGGCAAGAAAACCCACCAAAAACACTGACAGAGGGTCCAGAAATTGTTGCTTTCCTTCTTTGAGCCGTGCTATGGCTCGTGGTACTTCCTGTGCTCCATTTCTTAACTGTCAAATAGCAATCCCATGTCAGACAAGAGAAGAGATCAGGGCTGGTTTCTGCTTTCTATTAGTGCTTTATTGCTTTCTATTGCTGGATGCAGTGATCTAACTTTTTGCTTTCCTATTAGAGTGCTGTCTATAAGGGAGACTACACTGCGACGCACCCAACCGTGAGAATGTTTTGGGAAACCTTTCATGCATTTCCCTTGGAAAAGAAGAAGAAATTTCTCTGTAAGTATTTTGCAGTGGTGCAGGCTGTTTGCTGAAAGAAAATAATTGGGTGGGAGCGTGCAGAGCTCCAGGGTTGTGGCGCATTGCATTAACAGAGAGTGACCCGGCATGCATGGTTAGCTCCTCAGTTATGTGTTCATCAGATAATCTGCTTTGTCCCCGTTTCCCCCTCCAACCTGAAAACCACTGTGTGGTTGAAGTGTTCACAGGGCCATGTGTGCAGTGGAAGTACACCATCCATCTATTATGTTGCTAGGTGGCAGATCATGGCAGCCCCCAGTGCCTATTTGTAACCTGATTGCTTCTTCTGTAGGCATTGCAACAATCATATTAGGAACAAATGGGGCAATTTGGGGGTGATAACCCAAAGAAGCTGACATGTAATGAGTAGGAAAATGAGACCACGTTGATGTGAGAAGGTGTTGTTTATCACCTCTCCTGATGGCTGTCTCCATGTGGGAGGGGAGTTGTGTGCTGAGAGGAAATGCCCTCGAGAAATGCCTTGAGAAGTGCACCTGTGTGTTTTGCTTCAAGCAATAGATGGTGTCGGACTAAATGACCTCCACAGGTCTTCTCCAGCCTCAAAGTGAGGCGCTTGCTCTGACCAGCTTGCCTTCTCTCTGCTTCCAGTGTTTCTGACGGGCAGTGACCGCATCCCCATCTATGGCATGTCGAGCCTCCGCATTGTCATCCAGTCCACCGCCAACGGGGAGCAGTACCTGCCTGTGGCACACACCTGCTACAACCTCCTGGACCTGCCCAAGTACAGCAGCAAGGAGATCCTCAGTGCCCGGCTGGTGCAAGCCATTGATCACTACGAGGGCTTCAGCTTAGCTTGACTGGTGTGGGAGAGGCACAGACACTTGGGTACACGGTGGGCTTGGGTTTATTTTTGTATGTGAAAGGATCGGAGCATTTTTGGGGGAAAAATAATAAGAATAGATTTGGAGAATGAAGTCTCAACCTAATGCTGCCAGTATTTTGTGAGGCTTTAGCAGGCAGGGACTATTGCTTTGAATTTTCTGATCTGCTGAACACAATCAGTTCAGTGAGCTTTTCTGTTGTTTCCCCTCCAGATTCACAGCAGTGCCCTACCAGCAACTCCCTCTAGTTTGCTTTTATCGCCCCTTACACACGCATTGATTCCTCATTTTAGATCAGTTTATGTACTTGGTGTTCCTTGCACGTAGGCTACGGTGGTAATTCAGGATGAAATAGTCATCACCTTTTAAAAAAGCTGTGATTCCCCAAACCCTTTTTTTCCTTCCTTTTTTAAATGCAAGCTGGTTCTTGCTTACGTGGAGTGAACGTATCCCCTCTGCTCTTTGGTCTTTGGCAGATGGTACTGGGCTGAGGTGTCACTTGTTATCCCCAGGTCAGTTATGGTACGTGCTCTGTCTTTTTGCACCAGTTATCTCATGGAGGATGTGTTGGTTGCAGGGTTGGCTTGTTATTCCTCTTCTGTGTCAAACTTTGTTCCCAAGCAACATCTTCTTAAAGGATCATCGAATTCCTTTATGTTAAGGCTTGTGGATGGACAAACCGTACTGTTAACAACAGGTTTCTTGGACTGTGCCTCTCTTGTGTTGTTCTTCTGTCCCCATGTTAGGCAGGGGGGCAGAGCCAAGTCCAGTGTGTCCATTCTATCAGATGTGTTCTTCATTACAAGGAGAGTTGGCAGTGATTATCACTGCTGCTTTTCTCCAGAGGAGTTCTGCGTGTGTGAGGATGTGTGCAGGCTCCCCAGTGTCATCAGGCCGGAGGAAAAGAAAGAAGCATCAGATTCCTGTTGGCGTAGTATCTCTCTGATTAGAGGCTGGTGTTATTACTGCAGCTTATGGTTGGAGTGGAGCCTGTGGCATCTGTTTTGTTTGGCGTGTGCTGGGGGGAAGGCTGAAGGACAATCTGTTATGAACTGCAGTGGTAATGTACAGTAACTGTACAATAAAAGATGAGCGGGCAAAAGCGTGAACTGTATCCTGTATGGTTGGAGAGCCCCCATCCCATTAATGCTGAGTAAATGACTACCCCACTTTTAAGGTATTGGTGTAAATCTCATTTTAAGCCTGAGGTTTTGCAATTGAGTTGTTCTTAGGACATATTCTTTATGCACCACGTTCGATATCTAGTATTGAACTTTGCACCTTGTAACAAAAGGTTATAGGTTTTGTCTTGGCAAAGGGAGGAGTGGAGCGCTGGTAATGTAATGCAGCATTGAAGAAAAATAAAGCAGCATATGAAATGTTGATAATGGGTGTTTTTTTCAGAGGGAGGGAGGGAAGGAAGGAAAGGAGTGAGGAAAGAAGGAACTTCTGCAGATGTACATCTGGAAGTCCAAAGCTAGCCTAGGATTTTGTCATCTCCTTCTTCTCCATGTCAGTCTTACTTACTTCTTTAACAACAGTGAAGGTGGTGGTTCTGGTTTTTGCCACAGGGAAAACAGCATTTTAGAAATAGAGAGGAGGCAGCCAGGTGTGTCTTTTTTTCTTTTTTAATTTACAGTTTTACTTAACGGATTCTGTTACGTTTAGCTTTCAAAGTTCAAAAATATAAACTCTCTAAAGTGCATAACTGTACTTACATTTCATATAAACTATCTGAAATTCTAGCAGTATGCCATGTAAACAGCAGTAACTAAGCATCAGAAAATGCTACAATCTCATCAGTTCATACAATGCAATGGACTGTTCCCTACGTATCATTTATCAAGATTTGTCAGGGGCAAAACTCAGCAAACATCATTTATTGGTACACAGTGCAAACAGGCTTTTAAAAATAATCAGAGAAATCATACTCCTGGGAAGTGTTGGCCCACTACAACATGAATGAGGAGGAAAAGGGGCAGGAACTACACCAAGCTTCCCTTCCTGCCAGTCATCTTCAAATGCAGTTTCTAAGCCCAACTGTAACACTCAGCGCATCAGATCTGCAGAGGCAGAGCCCCACACCTCATGATGGACACTCAGTGCCTCTTAGAAGTCACACCCCAGTTCATCATACAAACCCTTGCAAACAGGGAATTCAGCCTTCACTACTTTTCTATAGGAGTGGGCAGTTCTGCTGTCAGTAGAAAACAGCCCCAGGCTCTCTCTAGCAGAAGCACATCAGCCTCTTATGAGGCAGACTGCCAATGCAGAGCCCTGGGGAAGGGGGAGGAGGGCGGCCTCCTGAGTAGCTGCGGGGTGCCAAAGAGACCTGCCCTCAGCACCAGCTTTGGCAAGAATGAGCACAGAGGGCACAGCACGTGGAAGGGGGCGAGTTTACCAACTGCTCCTCTTTATGGGCCCTCCTGCCTGCAGAGAGAAGGGAAGAGAGGAGCTCTTCTGTGGGCCCTGCTCCTGTGTGAAGCCTGGCTGCGATGAGGTGCACCGCACCCATCCTCAGCTCGTCGGCTCCTGCATGCAGCTCCCCAGGGAACTGAGATAAAAGACAGCATCACCTTGTGATACCAGAGCCAAGCCCCATTAACAAGAGCGTCTTGCCCCAGGTCCAGGGGAAGGGCTGTGGGGCAGTGACTGCCTGCATGCACCCCTGAGTGCACAGGGCTGCAGAACTGTCAGCTGCTCACTGTGATTCTGAACTTGCTGCCTTCACTCCTTCAGGCAGTGATTGTCCGATGCAAGAACTGGAATCCAGTGGCCCAGGACTCTTATTTCAGATCTGATAATGTTTAACTGCTCAACCCTGCACCTGAGACACGTGCAGCACGTGGCTCCAGGCTTTCACGTCCCTTCAGTATCCTCTGCCCCAGCGTAAAAACTACACCCAACAAAGCCACAGGGAAGAAAAGAACATCCTCTGTTGCCACAAAGCATCACTGCTTCAGCACACGTTGTCTGGTGGCACACATAAATAAAACTGAGGCTAATGGGTGTGCATGACATCCATGTGGACTTTCACCCTAGGCTCTTATACCCATTATCAGAAGTGTAAGGGCTGATGTGGTGGGTCCTCCAGATGCTTGACAGCTGACACTTAGCTGAGCAGCTACCAAACTCCCAAGGCATTCTAACTTAAAGCTGATAAAACCTCTTCCCAATTGCCCAAGCATCATAATCTCACAGCATCCACCTTCCAGGGGAACAAATAGGCACGAGCCTTGCTGCACAACTCTTCTGCTTCACTATTCCAAACAGATGTAGGTATTTTCTTAATTGAATTAGCAGTCAAAAAAGAGAAGCGGTAAGAAAACCCAACTGAATCCTGTGCAAAACTGTAACTCAAACCAGTTCTGGGCTATGACCAGGATACACTTCCAACATTTTATAAAGCAACGGAAGTCTCTGAACTCCGAACAGTCTGGTCAAAAGTCTGAGCAAATCTTTACTGTAACTACAAGACAACAATCTCGGTGCTGCCTGACCTGTGCCGTCACATGAGATCGGGTCAGGTCTGGTAAAATAAAGTGGAAGCTATTTGATGATTTAATCACTATTCATGCTACTTTGCCTCTTGCTATGATATCCTGAAGAAAAGAAAAAGCATAGTTGGCTTTTATATTCTAAATATTACAGGATCTGTAAGCAAATCAAAACAGAAGGAACCCTTCAGTGCAGTCACTGAGGACAGCATCATGTCTCCTACACTGGCAAACCATTTTGGGCATCAGGCCTGGAGAAAGAATGGACAACAGCAAGTGGAGAGAGTGATGGAAAGCCACCCTTTCTCCCTGTCCTGCCTCTGGTAATGGCCCTTCAGTTCCCAGGGAGCTCCTCAGCCCTCCCAGCCAGGCTCTCGATGCATCCACTTCACGCACTTGTCCGCTTGGTGCTCTCTCTTCTTAGTGTATTGGCAAAACCACTCTCCTCCTTTACATCATCTTTGAGCTAATATCTCTTTTACTGATCAGGACCTCCAGCAGCCTCAGCTTGGCCTTAATCTGCTTGTATTCATTGTATTCTTCAGCCATAGGAGTACGGTCTTCTTTCTGCACATTCCTAGTAAGAGTAAAAGGAGCCATGAAGATTTCTCTACCACCAGATCTTCCTTCAGTAGCCTTCCTCTATCCTCAGGCTACAGATAACAAAACACCTCCCTTCTTCTATTACCCAGCAGGGAATAAAGCCAAATAACTTTTATACTTAGCGAGAAAAAGGGCAAGCAAATGATCTAATGAAGCAGACAGTACATATTGAGGCTTAACAGAATCCCATGCTTCCAAATGCAGAAACTTATTTGAAGCTCCTGCTTTGCTGAAATTGTCATCCTCTGCATGACAGTTGGAAAAAAAAAACTAACACCCAGCCAACCAAAAGAAACCCCAACAAACCCATCAAAACAAGAAGAACCATTTCCTTCAAAAGAAATAAGATACTCAATTTCAGCTTAAGTGAGATTCAAGTCTTCTATGATTTTACGAAAACATTTAAAGTTTATGGTAGTGGCAAGAAGCTAATTTCAGGAGAATAAAAAGATTTAAAGCACTCTATCAGCTCAAACGTGAGGAGCTTTTTCTGATTCTTACATACCCAGCTATACTCCAGCAAAAGTACTTGTTAAGCTCATGTCTGAATACCTCACAGACATGCAAGATCAGGACAGAGAAGCAGACAATGTCACTGGGCAGAAAGACCAATTCTTCTATCCCTAAGGAAATATTCCACCATTCTTACTAATTTTGCTAGATGCAGCTGGATTTTCTGTACTTACACTGCTTTTCAAAGTTATCTTAAGGGGTTGTGGGCCTTAAAGATGTTTGGAAAAAAAAAAAAAAGCCACTCATTTTAATGGGCAACTGTATCTAACGTGAGTAAATACATCATGATGACAACAAAATATAAAGTTGTGAATTCAGGTAACTTTCCATAATTGGAGGCCTTTGTAGATGCCAAATTGATTAAGAACAGCTGAAAGACAGAGGAATAGCTGAGAAATTACCTCCCATTTTGTCGGAAAAAATTATCTTCAAAGTCTCTCAGTTTTTTTCTGATCCGCTTTTTCTCTTCCCTGACTTCTTGCAGCTGCTCCAACAGTTCAGGCCTGTTGTGTTTAAATACAGACACGATTATATTTATGAACACAATTATAACTGGAAAAATACAGTAAATGTGCAAATTTGGTGTTGTGTGGATGCCAAGTAACTGAGCTGCTCCATAAGCGGCCCTGGGAATCTGGTGTTAATTGCAATAAAAAGGTCTCTGAATTTACTTCAAGAAAAAGACAGCACGTAGGCTTAAGTCAAGTGTGCATGTCTCAATTCATCTCTAATTTCAGTGAAAATTACTTGAAGGTAGATCTGGTTTTGGTGACTTCTATGGGATTGAGGTTTGACAGCCATGCATTAGGGCTACCATCTAAGTGTGTATGCATCTAGGTGCTTAAAACTAGAAAAAGGAGTTCAGCTTGATGTCTCCAAAAATAGGAATGCCTTGTGGAGCACAGGGGTTGTTTAAACGATAAAAGCTCAGCAACGATAGTAGCTGAAGTAGAGGTACTATTTAGCCCAAGATTCCAATGATTACAAAAGTCAGACATCACTATGAGGAAAGGGTGATTTTCTCCCAAACCCTTCCATGTAGAGATCTATTTCATTTCAAAATGAAGTGCAAAAAAATTTGGACAACATACATGGATGCTTCATGGAGATTTGAAAGCCCCATATCCTGGTTGCTCCTTGATGGTATCTTATCATCCACCGGGGAAACAAAGCCGTCGGCATCATCTTCTAGTTGATCCAAGAAGCTACGCACGTTGAAATCTGTTTTCATAGTGATTGTGAAGTCTGGTTTCACATTGCTGTCCTCCTCAGAGCCCTCCTCTTCCTCCTACAGAGAGAGAAAGAACACCCCCATCACACAGTAAGTTGCTTCCCTTCTCAGAAGCAAGCATCTCCTTTCACTGCATGCACTGGGAACAGATATGAAAATAAGTGAATAAGCAGAGCAAGCAGGCACTTGAGTTGCTAAGCAGTACAGTACACCAGGATATCACCAGGAAGACACACTATGCCCAGAGCATATCAGAGCAATTAACTCAGATTGGTTAAGGAGACCTAAGGCAGCAAAGAAGAGTAGGAAAAAAATCTAGCTTTCTCAGCAACCTGTTGCTTTAATTCTTATATTCTGATACAGATAAAACCAATTTCACTTGTAATGCATGCTGTCTAGAGCACACCTGCCATCCTTTGCTTGTCTATACAAATGCACCAGGCAGCACACAGATCATCAGTTTAAAACAAGTGCTCTCTCATAAGATACACCTCAATAGCTCTCTCTAAAGGCAGAGTTCAAGACCTCAGATGCTCTTTCAGTGCTACCAATGAGTTCAGAGGGATCTTTTTAAAGCCAAGTACTGGATATCATTGACTGTAAAGGCCTGCTGTTGCTAACATGGTCCCAACCTCAGCTCCATACCATATAGCTGTAGCACACTGAAAATTGGAGTGGAAACACTTGGTCCAGTACCATTTCCCCGAAGTACGCAGACAAATCAGTCGCGTTCAATTTTTTTTCCTACAACTTACAGGCACAACTTTTGGAAGTCTCTGCTGCACTTTGTGTTTGCTAATTCATAGAATTCTCAAATGTAGGCCTTGCCACGTGATACCATCCAGAAATCACTTATATTTTCAGGAAACAGGACCCAGTTTTCTCTTACTTGCAGAGACCTTTCTAGAAGGCAGTTTTCAACCTTAATATAAGGCATGAGGTTGGAATAAGGTAATAAATCATAGAATCGTAGAATGGTTTGGGTTGGAAAGGACCTGTAAGACCAGCTAGTTCCAACCCCCTGCTATAGGCAGGGGCTCCTCCCACAGACCAGATTGCTTGCAGCCCCATCCAGCCTGGCCTCGAATGCTTCCAGAGAGGAGGCATCCACAACCTCACTGGACAACCTGTTCCACTGTCTCACCATCCTCACAGTAAACAATTTCTTCCTCATATCTAGTCTAAATCTACCAGTTTAAACCCATTTCCTCGTCCTGTTGCTACTTGCCCTGTAGATTTCCTTCTTGTTCCTCTGTGTATCCCTGCCTAGATTTAACTCTGTCTGGATTTTAGCTTTCCCATCCTAGATCCCTACTTGGACAACTTCTCTGTAGCCATCCCTGGTAACCTGTTCCTGATTCCACTCCCTACAGACTTTCTTTTTGAGCTTAAGTAAGTCCAGGAGCTCCCTGTTGATTCACAGAAGCTGTGAGGAGTTCCATGAGAACTGCAGCAGTAAGAGCAGTCAAATGCTGTCCAAAAAAAAAACAAAAAAAAAAAAACAACAGGCCAAAGAGTGAAAGGAGACCATTGCTCGCTGCCATTTTCAGGACCCCAGGCATGCTGTTCTGTCCAGCTAGGTAGTAGCAGCTGGGCCTGAAGCAGGAGAATGTAATTCCTGCTGGCGTGTGGTGGAAGATTTGCTAACAATCAAATCAATAGAAACTGTATTATTTTATTCTATGGGAATCCCTTTGGCACTGAAGGAGAAGACCCTTTGCCCTTTTCTAAGAGATTAAGTTGCTTCTTGGCTCCAGTTCTGGAGGAAAAGGAAAAGGACAGTTTCATAAACAGTGCAAGAAATTATTCCCAAACAGAGAAGCAAAGTATCCATGTAACTTGGATCTGCATATCTGGTAGCAGTCACTTCCCGAAGGACACCCGTAAGCCCGTGCCAGCCAACAAGGGCCAGCACAGCAGGCTGGCTTGCTTGCCTTGCTCCAGGGCACACAGCCCACAGCTCAGGAGTGAGCCTCCTGCCAAAGAAAGCCCACGGGAGGAAAAGACAGAGCAGAAATTCGTGCCAAAAACCTACATCTGGCCACTACAAGACCTCTTAAAGCATTTTGCTGTTTAAAATGAAGGAGCAATTAAAAAAAAAAAAATCTGAGCAAGAACCATTGCTTAGAAAGCATCTCGTATGGAAATCTTATTTTAAATCCATACCGCCATTTACATTCTAACCAAAATTATCTTCATTGACTAGATCCATTTGGCTTGCGTCTGTGAGGTTCTTTAGGCAATCGTGAGACATTTAATTTCCAGAGCTACAAACATAAAATCTCCAGAGTAACCCAGTGTCAGTACTCCCAGCATGCAAGGATTCCAGTGGTTCTCTAAACACAGAAACATTCAAGATATTCTGTCCAAACATACACAGAGTTGCACCTCATGCCATTGTTTAACCTCTTATCCAGCTCTCCCAAATGCTTTAAAAAACACACCAGGAAAACAACAGAATCAGGTGCTCATCAAGAGCAGCAGTGCTCTGTCTATAATGGATCCATACAGGGGGAAAATTCTTGATTTTCTTTTTTTTTTTTGGCAATTTCCTCTGTTTAATTCTGAGTGTACTTCAGTGAAAAGCTGCTGCATGCAGCATCACAGATCCCCAATAAGTGTTAATTGGCATTTCACCATTAATAGGCTTAATGAGAGCAACACCACAGCTCTCCACATTTGTGCTCTCTGTGGGAAACCAGTGAGATGCTGCCCTGATGCAGCATTTGCCTCACTAGTCACCAGAGATCACCACACTTGACAGCTGTAAGCTTTGAATCCAGCTGCACACACAGTTGAAAGACAGAGGACACAGAAATGCCCCAATCAATCAAATAACCCAATCCAGATTGCTGCTGCAGATTTGAGAGAGCTCCACGTTTGTTAATCAGCCTCTAATCAGCAGTTCCACATGCTTCAGTTTGCAGTCTGGTTTTAATGAATACATGCCTTAACTAGTTGACTGATACAGAAGCTACTGTCGCTGCTTTATCACAGAATCATCTTGGATGTCCACGTTTGCAGTATCGATATCAAACACTACCTATGTTTGGATAACCCAGGTCTGCTGAAGCACTTTTATTTCCTGCTACACTGCAACAGTAACAAATGCAAGCCAGGGCCCAGCTCCACGCTGCCTGTTGCGGCTGACAGCTGGACATCCCTTGTCAGAGGAAGAAGGACCAATATTGTAGCAGACTTCACCACCATGAACTATCACTCCACAGTGGAATAAGAAAGCATCACAACAATCCCATCATCCAAATCTGACAGCATTAACAAACGTGACTGAGTCGTTCCTACTTCAATCCTCGTGTGACTTGGTTAGAAACGCTGCCTACAAGGTGGTGAAAGAGAGCCCTGGATAAAATAAGTCTGTCAATAGAAGATATAGATCCTGTACGTGCCTGGTTGGCTCCGTGTGTGTGTTAGTTTTGTGAGATCTCATTCCAGCCATGGTGTTGTGTGCAAGTCACAGAGCGTTGGAGTGAGAGAAACTATTGCAAAATAAGTTAGTGTTATTAAAGAGGAAGGAGAAAGCAAGGGAAAAAAAAAAAAAATCACCAAGCCAAAGTGCAAAGAACAATTGTGAGGTTTTTAGCAAAATAAAATACATTATGTGCAAGGGAGGGAGAAGGAGAAGGGAAAGAACACAAAGCCAATGAAACATTGTAGTCTTATCTACAACAAGGGAAGAATTTGATCAGAACTGGACAGGCTTAAAGCAGCTACTGATTTTTCAGGAAGACACACTGCAAAAAAATCAACACTGATGGAAAAAAAATAAATCAATCATTCTCTTTCATTGGTATAAGGGGAAAATTGATGCAAACTGAGCAATTAGTTAGCAGCTGGAGGTCTTCACCTTTATCTCCTTGAAGAAGGAAGCAGTTTCGCCCTCGATAATTGGTTGCAGCAAAGGGCTTCTCCGCTTGCTGGAGGGGGAACCCTGTGACAGGTGTTAACAAGTACGTTACATTATGAAACCCTTTCTCTTCCGCCACCTGCTCTCAGCTCATTCTCACTCACTCATTCGCTCAGCTCACTGCCAGACCATCAGGAGAAATCCATTTCTTAAAGAACAAAATCCACCTGGCAAACCCTTTGCATCTTGGACTGTTTTCCCTCAAGATGTTGCTTAGTAAGGGACATCACTGCTAAACACTCAAGAAAAAAGCTTGGATGCTGGAATACTAGCTGGGCAGGAACTACAAAGAAAATAACCCCCCAACCTGAGGCCCTTACACACACAAAAACACAACACACACTTGGTTTGCTCTCCAGAGCTACGATGTAAGCCTTGCTAGACTCTCCAGCCCTGCTTTCCAGGAGGCTGACTTTCCAATCAAGTCCTTCAGAATGGGCTTTCAAATGTATTCTGCCTCTGTGTGCATCTCTCACTCTGCTCATTTTAAGGGACTGGGGAAAGCCAGTCTCATCTCCCTTGTGCTAGCCAGTGTGCAATTTCAGTTTCGTGTCTAAACACGACCTAAGCTTTTTTTCCTGAGCTTCATCTTAAACTGCCAATACAAAGATGAAGGCTTTGTTCCATCTGAGAGCCAGCACTATCTTTACTGCTCGCATTTTGGGGAGTACTTTGCATATTCGAAGAGGAACAGCTTTGGTTTTAAATGCAGGACCACCTGCCACCACAGGTGCAGAAAAAAATCACGTCAGTGTGACTGACTGCACTGAAGTAACACTCTGCCAGTCCGTTCAGTTCAGCAAGCCGTCTACAAAAAAGCAGCCAGGACATCAGCAAAAACAGTAAGAGATCGTACATGACAGGGTAAAAAAGGAACCAAGATGAAACAATTCTCTTTCTTTAGACAGGCTACGTGGATTCTTGGTATACACTTAGGTTGAAAAATTCTTTAAAAATGGCTTACACAAGCTGTCCAGAATTTGAGATACCATGTTTGCTCCCTAAAGGAGTGCATTGGATTCCATGCTGGTGTCAATATTTCCTTGCCAAAGCACCACCTGGATTGAGAGAGCATCCACTACTTGCAGCATCTCTTCAAAATCAGCATAGTGTCCCTTTCTCTCAGCCAAAGACACTACTGTCACACAAGTCTGTGTGACAACATACAGCCCTGCATAACCAAACAACATGAAGACCTACAGTTCTGAATAGACCAGTAAGGAAAGGGAAGTGATGCTGTAGCCAAACATAAGATGATGAAATAACAGCAGCAGCCCAATGGAAAGGTGAGAAACAACAAAAGGTGAGATGTGTCTCATGGCTCATGAGTGGGCACTGGAGACCCCTGACCAGCATTATCTGACTGCAGTACAATGTCACCTACCCGCTCATTCGCTTGGCCTTTGAGATGTAAGGGAGGAATTGGCCTTATTGATTGTGCTGTATACCTCAGCTCTAACCCTAAGCAAGACCTCCTAGAAGAAAGTTCTACTCACAATGATAGGGATGGTGTTGGCTCTGGAGAGGATCTGCTTGACCAAGCGATACCTGTCATACAGTGGCTTCATCACCTGCCGTTCATTTTTGGTAACCTGTAAAGGAAAAAGAAATGAGAACCATGAGGCGTGCAGCAGATGCTCCGTTCTACAAGGTCCGTGCTTGTGACTGCTGTTAGCAAGAGGATTTAAGGGAGTTTCATAGTGATGGCATGCTAACAGCACTAGCACAGAAACCGGAAATGGAGAAGTACTCATGCTCACTCCTCAGTTTGAGTGCTGCATACCGCTAGTGCTTCTTTCTGGTTTTCATTCAAATCCACTCTAAGCAGAAAACCCCAGCAGTACTGACAGTGCAGAACAGAAGGCTTTACAGACAACAGCTAGCGTGGGAAAGCAAAGGTCCAGCTAAGCAGTAGCTGTAAAGAAATTGAGGTTTCACTTCTTGAATATACATCAATTCTTTAACAAAAAAAATAACCGTAGGGTTAGAAAAAAACAACCAAAATATTCACTGCAACCCACCTGATCATCATCTTCCTTTTTATTCAGCACTGTCTGACCACATCCTATGACTGTCCTTCCATCACACTTTTTGTTTAACTTTTGATTGTAAAGCTCTTACAAGAGGAAAGGTTTAACTGACCCAGATGCCATTCGTACGCACCAAAGCTTTTCACTGCTGTTAATCACCAGTTGATGTAAAAATCAACAGTAGTATGAACCCTGATGAGCTTTGTACAGTCTCCCTTTCTACAGCAAATAGCAGAGTAAAGGGAATGCAGCTTGGAATGAGGAGAAGACTTCAAAATGAACTGTCTTTCATTTTGTCTGCAGCTAACTTTCAACGGAGTAAGCTTTTTAGAGCTTTCACATCATCCCTCCAGAGCAGGAGAGATGCTGTCTGGAAAGGGCAGAATTGGAGCTGTAGGTATTGCCAGGAGTGCACTGGCTAGCTAACTGCCTCCAGCTTTTGACATTTCTCTGCAATCCATCAAGCATAAAAATGGAAAATTGGAGAAATTCTACAGGACTTGTATTACTCCTAGTTTTACCAGATTAGCTGTTAGAAGAACGGGAGGCACAGCACTACTGTTGCCTCAGCCAGTACCTGTTACTTAAACAACAGCCCAGAACAACAACAACAAAAATATGCCGGTGGCTGAGAAACAAACCTTCACTTCATGTCATTTCAAAGTAGGTAAATATATCTGTTCTGTACAGGAAAATAAACATAAGCCTTGGAATGGACAGAAATTCCTAAGGCACGTTTATGAATAGGAAAATATAAATGACATGCTTCTGAGTCTGAACATCACTACGGAGGAAGAACACAAAGAATTAATTTAAGCAAGGAAGTTCAGCGCAAGGGGCCTGAGCCAGCCCTGCAGACGTGCACCAGAACATTTAACCAGAAAGCAAACTGAAAGAAAACGTTCTGCAAATGGGCAAACTGTCTCCCTAGTTAAATGTAACACCAGCAAAACCTGAGTATATTTTTGGAAAACATCAAAATGCAAAAAAAGCTGTCAGAATAACAGAGCCTTTGACATAACTCTGGAGCACACTCTGTGTGGCGAGCAGCAGCATCAGCCAAGGAAGAGATCATTGCCTTCATTGTTTGAGCAGCTCAAGAATTTCTGCAGAAATGAACTTTTTGGCTTAATTAAAGCAGTTCAGTTCTACCTCTGCAGGTTTGCCTGTCACTGGTGCAGAAAGACCCAGCTGCACTAAATCTGAACTCCATTGTTTTTCTTGTTTAGTTAAATATCTTAAACAAAAAAAAAAAAAAGCAATACAAAAAACAACCACCCAACTTGGCTGAACTACACCCCATTCTCCTTAAGCTCTCAGTACTTTTCCACTGCTGCAGTGCCAAAAGCTGGAAGAGCAAAAGCTGATCGACTGCCATCCTTCTTGTTACGTGATTCCATGTTGCTTGGTACAGACTACTTATTTAAAAACAAATTAAAAAGTAGCTCTATAAATAAAGCATCAAAAAGTGCTGGGAGGAAGGTATGCTGACATGACAGACTTTTTAAACAGATTTAAAGTGAGTTTTTAAACAGATTTAAGTGAGCTTACTTTAACAAGATGACACCTGATGATTTACATCACTGTGATACCAAAAGCAGACTCCAACTCTGACTCTGCTGGAAAAGGTTAAGTGGATGTGCTGGCCTTTTGCTATTTTATAATATCATAAAATTTCATGTCCTCTAGTACAACCAAGCTGTTTTCACCTACTGGTATATGTGCCTATACAATATTAGTACTTCATAGCATCATAGAGGTATCCCAGATTAGAAGATTAGATCCTAAAGGATCATGGAATGAAGGGAAGTATTTAAATTAGCAACACTTCAAAATAAAACAAGCAAACAAAGAAAACTAACAGGGAAAGGAGAAAGTAATTCAGGAGCAAATAGTAGGTAGGAATCAGGACACAGCACACAGCAGAAAAAAGACACATTTATCATCTGCACTCATCAAGCACTTCTTATATACAGTAACTTGCTTCTCTGAAGCCACTGGTGAAGGGATTAGCACCACGCTGAAACTGAACTACATTACCTCCACAGCTGGTAGCAAAAATTAGAATAAAGTGAAAGAGGAGGAAGGGTTTGTACAAAGCCAAAGTGCTTGGTGGCCTGGAACTCGCCATATTTCTGTCATGGCAGGAATCAACAGGACACTATTTAATTCTCTGTCTTTACAAATATTTTTCCTTTGCTAAATTCAAACGTACAAGAAATCTCATGCCCGTCTCTTCCTCGTGGAAACAAATGTCTGCTTAGGGGAATGAGAAAATCAACTTGTCATGGCATTCAGGAGACAAACTGTTTTGTGAATCCTCTGGCGCAAAGGGATTGTGTAGTTATGAAGACAAAGGTGCCTCCTCGCAAATAGTGTGGTACTCAGAGAAAGATACAGCTTCTCTGAGAAGGTGCACTGCAGCACTGCTTGCACACCTGTCTTCCAATTAGTCACTACTAATAGCAAACTGAAAATTTTTGTCAGGATAAGGGTCCGTGCACAGCTATTCCAGTGCATACAGTATCCCTGGTAAAGCTGGTGAATCAGCTGGGCCACAAAATGAATGCCTGTGGATCCTGGCAAGCGTGATGCCAAAATAATGCACACTGAACTTCATTCAGGCTGTAAGCTCAGTCCTACAGGTATCTGCCATGTCCAGCAGTGTGTGCAGGCACCACCTTGCCAAGAGTAATGTGGCAGTGGTAACGAAGGATCAGGGTGGTAATTAAAGGACACGTGTGGTTAGAACAGCAAGAAGTCCTATAGACTGTGGCGCTGAAGGAGCACTAGGGCAGTCATTTACAACAGACAAAGACACATGAAGTTGTATTTCGAAAAAACGCTGTACATACCGGTCTGCCATGAATGCTTTCATAATACAGCAAGGCTTTCTGAAGAGCCACTTTCTCAGCTGCTATCTGATCTCTTGTCATATCCTATAAAAAGTAGCACAGAGACAAGAGAAAGAAAAAACATCAGAATTCAAGACACAGACAATACTAAGTTACGGCCTAATTGAAGTCATTATCATTTTGTCATTAATGTTTTGAAGACTCATCTCTGCTTTCTAGTTCTCCTTTCCCAGCTATATTGCTGGAAAGACTTATCACAGGAGCCCTATATACAACACAGGCAAATTGAAACTAACATTTGTATGTGAAAATGTTGTAGGTACATAAGGGGGATTTATATTTTCTGTGTGCTTTGAACAATGTCAATTTATATTTTGTGTGCTTTGAACAATGTCAAATAACTTTTAGTGATGGTGGCTGTTCTTCACTTAGAAAGATTTGAGTCATAAGTCCAGCAACAAAATGCATGCTCTTCCTTGTCTTCCAAACCTGAGACAACCTCCAGTACCTGTTGCAAAGCTTGCCATTTTTGCCTTGACTGCTACAGACACACTTAACAGAAATGAAGTGCAGTCAGACTGTTTCTTTCTGCCAAATTCTGCTATAAAGTGAAAAGCTCTGGCTGACAGGCTGAGGGGACCAAGCCAAAAAAAAAAAAAAAAAAAAAAAAAAGGCAGACAGTTGGAAGACACTTGCCTCAGTTTTCCAAAGCTCCTCCACCAAACATGACTGACACCAAGACTTCTCTCTCTATTGTCGCACCAAATACTATCAGAGACCTTTAAAAGGTCAGGCTGTTTATTCTTGCTACCTTCAGAAAACAGCCAAACACTTCTGCAAATCTAATAAACAAAGATACTGCTGTCTGCTCCTCTTTCACAGAGTACTGCACAATTCACACGTCAGCAGACTCAAGGACTTCATTTACAAGGCTACCCAAAACTCAGGAACTAGAACATCAGACACAAAGACCTCTCTGCTGATAACCCTCAGAGATTACAGGAACTAGCTGAGCTCAATGTGACACTCAGAAGAGCAGTGATAAAATGCCCTGAGACAAGAGCATTCAACTGTGGAATGATCTAGAAGAAAATCAATGACCTAATCTTAAGAATCACTGGAAGACTCAGAATGTGCCAAAAGCTTTTGGGCATAACAGTTCAGAACTGTTACATGGAATCTATGAGAATCAGAAAAAGAACACAATGCTATTCAGTAGAAACAGAGTGTGGGGAAAAAAAAATACAGACACTGAAAGCAGAGGGAAAGAAGCTAAAGCAAGTAAGCCTGCAGTAGAGGCTGAAGATGTTTGTACAAAATGCAAAAGATCAGAAGGCTTTCACAACTGACAGTGCAGCTATGAGTTACATGCTTGTACTTAAAAGGCCTAAATCTGATCTGCATATATTGTACCTTTATATCCTCTGGTCGGTTTGTCTCCGTTCGTTTTTCCTGAAGCTTCTTCTGGATAGAATCAAGGGTCACTTCCACAGCAGGCTTGGCAGATTTATCTGATAGGTCTTGTTTCTTGTCATCCTCCTTTTCAAGCTGAGAACCAAAGCTCTTTGGGAGCGTGTTGCTTCGCTGACGCACCACAGGGCCCAGGTCTTCTTCCGATATCTTCAGTTTAGACTCTAAGCAGCAACATTTAGGGAAGAGGAATAATTTCTCTTTAAAATGTGATGGTGACAGGACCACTGTCTAGCATCACATTTAAAAAAGGTTAAGTCTAGGTGCCCCGAGAAGGTACATCAACACTGACTGCTCACCTTTAAGCTGCTTTCGGAATTTGGCCAAATCATTTGTCCATTTGAGCACTTCAGGGTTAGCTGCTTTGTCACTGTGGGAAGGCTGGGAGGAAAGAACAGTCATGCTGAATCTGTATTAAATCAACAGGAGAGACCCACTGAAACAAGCCTGCATAACAAAATGGGGGCTAAACAGGATTGGGACACAGCACAGAGCACAGGTACAGGCTAGTGACTGGTGCCTGCATACCTGTGACCTATCCAGCTCAGAACTTGCTTTGATTGCCCTACCTGTCACAACATTGTCTCTTAGCACATTGCAAGACTCATGCAAGACTCTTTCAGTACCATCTTTCATGGTTTAGATCACCAATTGAGATGCACACATATGAAGCTTTAGTTCCTTAAAAAGCTTTCTGTCCCTCGGAAGAGCATCTCAAGAATAAACAGAATACAGAACACTGCGACTGCTCAGCAGCACTTGACTATGGCTCCTTGCTGAGGAGCAAAGAAGGCTGCTCTTCTCTACTATGCAGTGATCTGGTGTCCTGCAATTACCATCATGCAAATGAGATGCACAATTGTTCCTCCTACAAAGTAAACTTTAATAAATAAACAAATGCCAAACATAACATAGCTATTCCTGCACCTTGCTGTATAAAGCAGTGATCAAAATTCCATGAGTTTGTGAGACTCTCTTGTACTGTACTGGTGGTACAAAAAATTCCAGGAAAGGTAATTTGTTTGATATAGATGCACATTGTCATTTTTGGAGCAGCATTACGTTTTCCTTTACTTTACATTGTTTAAATACTTCCAAGCTCTCTGTGTATGTTTGATAGGTTCCCCCAGTGTCCCCTCCCTTTCTAGCTACCTTACACCTCTTCCTACAAATGCCTGAGTAGAGACTCACCCTATATTTCCTCTCCTCCTCGAATTTGTCCTCAAATTTCCTGATTTTTTTCTTCAGTCCCTGAATTCTCCGGGTAAGCTGTGCAGGGGTGAGGTCTTCTCTGTCATCTTCGTAAGATCCCAAAGAAGAACTCCGCCTCCTACCAAGAGCAGAGATTGCACAAAGAGTTTATCCAAACAGCTGCAGTACATCTTCTCGCTCAAAAGGATGCTTAAACTTGGCGTAAATAAAGGCAAATCCCACGGAAGTGAGAAAGTTATGTTGGTTACTCTCTAATGACAGACAGAACAAGAGGTTGCTGTTAGATATTAATTGGAAAACCTTGAAATGATCAGTTATCTAGAACTTCTCTTACAGCACCCGCTTTCTGACAGAAAAAACAGAAGCTCAACACAATATAGCTATATGGCTTGTGTGATTCAAAGAGATGCTGCTTGATGCGACTGTGCAATGCAGCCAGATCAGTCACCACAGAGAAATCACAACTCACCTCATAAATGAATGAGAATTGGGAGGGGAAGGAGGCACTTCTGTATCATCCAGGTACTGCTGGCTCTGTCCATAGGCATAGAAGCGAGGAGACAGCATAGGATCGCTGTCCTCATCCAGGAGCTGGCGAATTAAACGGCCAGCCTGTGGGGAAAGGCGAGCCTCTTCTGAGTCTAAGCCATCTCGCTGCCATGAAGAAAGTGCAGGGATGGGCTCTAGGAACAGCAAGACAAAGATTGATTTTATCACTTTTGTTTTACAAGTACCAGTGACTCCAGACAACATTTCTCGTGTCATATCATGACCCCATTGTCCTAAAAGATTGCTTGTTGTCAGTGTCAGGTATTCTCTGGGTCATTATTCACACCTGCCAGTGTGCAAAGTAGTGCAAAACATTGCCTGGTCACAGTGGATGCTCTATACAAGCATAAATAATCTGCTGGGTGCAACACAAAGCTGTATCCATAATCTGGCTGGAATTACTATGGACTGACAACAAGAGAAGGTATCACCAGCCACTACCTTTGAGGAAATAACTCCAGGATAGGACAAAATTATTGGCACATGACAGGATAAAGGAGGCAAGCTGGCTACAGGAAGAAGCTCCTCAGTTTTAGGTCATACAAATGCTGCAAATGAGCAGCACCGTGATTGTCCTCCTGTTCCCCAACACAACTCGGCCACACATGGCTCAAAATTCAAAGACTAGAAGGAAGCATATGTTTTTCTAGTCTGTAAGGAAAGACTGCCTCACTGCACTACTACCAGTTCTATAGCCATCCAGCCATCATATGGGCTGATTTTTCCTCTTTTCTCTCATATGTAAACCTGCTGCATGGCAGAAGAGTGAGGAAATATTTAATGCATAGCTGGAAGTGAAAGCAATGCCATACAGGGAGATGGTGGGGTGGGAGAGAAATGGAAGCCCAATTTAGTGTTGCTGCTCCGCATACTGGAGCCCACAGAAAACAATCGCCTCAATCTTGTGACAGCTCCCTCCAGATGCCATAAGGAGTCGAACATTTTCTGTTCAGATAGTTTACTAAGCTGATTTGCATGCTCCTACTTAGCACCATGGGATTAAACAGTTTAAGAGCCAGGCCTTGAACTTATAAACCTAACAAATAGTTCTAGAGTCAAGTAACAAAACAAAAACCCTATAGAAAGCTCCCAGACCAGTCTCAGAGCTAGGAACTCAATATTCCCTGTGCCTAGCACGTCTGCTCTTGTTTCACAAAGGGAAGAGGCTTTTGAAGCTAGTAATTTTTTGAACTAAAAGCAGTATTTCCTTCTGCTGAACAAGGTGAAGACTTTCATAGCTTACAATGGATTTTGTGGGGATTCCCTTACAGAATCTTGTGCTGCCCTCCCCCGAGTACAGCTCAGGCAGCACGAGATCATGCACAGCTCAGGAATGACCAGCCCAGAGGAATTCTGCTGCAACAGAGGTGTCTCTCCTCCATTCCCCTTCTTCTTTATACAAGAATTTAAATCGTATGCCTCTGCTTAGAGATTGGTGATGCATGCAAACTGAGAAGTTATCCTGAAAGGGATGGCTGGAGGTGTTTGCACCTCTCAAGTGTTGTGATAAGTGAAGCACATTCTTGGCACATACAAGTGCTCACAGGGGCTGCATTAATGAGGTGTGCAAAACTCAGATGGACACAGGTTGCATTGCCATGGATTGGAGAGCTCCTGCAGCCTGTATTTCTCCTAAGTAATTTTTGGAACGTGAGCTTTTTCTAAGCTGTATTCACCTTGATGGTACCTAATAACTGAAAGAATTTTCTCAAGGTACCTGATATGAACAAAGAGGAAACTAAGGGCGAATCATTCACCCAAGCAGTGATACTTTGGCCTTTGACCCTTTCCTGAGTCTCATAGTTTCAGATCCTCACATGATCTCTTGCAGCAAATTAATGGCTGGTAACTAGAAAGGAAAAAATCTGATACATCTGACTAGCAGAAATGAGGTAAGTGACGCATGCAATTCTTCCAGACATTTTTCATTTCCAGTTTTTGGAATACATTCACAGAAAAATAGAATTTGCTCTTGGAAATCATTAAATCACATCCTCATGGGATTTACACAGATGGAATTAACTTAGGAGAAGTCAAAAGTATATTTAACAGTAACCAAATAAAGCTTCTACTACATCAGCTAAAAAAACCCCATTACCCAGCGTGCATGATGCATGTGATTTTGTCCTAAGGTGGGTATATGTTGTGCCCAAAAGTTGAATCCAAAAGGAAAAAACATATAAAAGGAAAAAAATATCCTAAAAGGAGAGGTCAAATTTGAGACTTGACACAAGAAATGCTTGCTATAGAAAATCAGCTGGTTTTAATTCTCACTCCTAAGATGGAAAGAGTCCATGGGCAAGTTGTTTCCCTTGCTGATTATATGTGTTCAGAAGAAAAACCTCATCTGGACACAGAATGAGTAACAATGCTTTGGGGGGGGGGGGGGGGGGGGGGGGGGGGGGGGGGGGGGGGG